AACTATTCAAATTATACAACTTTGAATAATGGGTACTTGATATTTAATCTGGGTTTTACCTATGTAATAGATTTGATCATAATTTTTTATTTTTATGAAAATATTGAAAACTATTTACTTGAATGAACATAATATAATTTTTAATTTATTTACGAGTATGTAAACGAATAATGTAATAATTGTTGTTTGCATGTCTATCTAATTTATTTTAAAAAATAATATTATAAATGATGACTAACATGAGAATGATTGGATATATGTGAAAGTTTTAATATTATTGTTGCTTTGAGAAGGTCCGTAAAATGTTTAAAAAACGATTTCATATATAGTTAAATCCGTAACATACTGAGGTCACCTGGAATTGTTTTTAGTTCACAATGATTAATTACATTGAAACTTATAAAGATAACATATCCCTAATGCGTTTTCCCAAGTGAATTACCCAAAACGTGATTCTCAGAGGACTATTATTGGCAAAAGCCTTGTGAGAAATGCAGAACTTTTAGCGAAGAAAGGGTTTATTTTAACGTTTATAATGAATTAAAAATCAATGGTGGATTAAAAAAAATAAAAATGAGTAAAATACAAAATTATCTTCTTCATATCATATTGAATATATATATTATTATTATATGAATATTCAGTTTGTTAACCGTAATACCAGTTCTTCACGCGTAATATTAATATAATATATCTATAAACGAGCATAATAAAAATAAATCAAATATAAATCTCGTAAAGCTCAAATTTTCCGTTTTGTCGGTATTCATTATTACTATAACATTAAAATGATTCAGTGCACATCGTAATTTTAGTACTTTTTCCTTTTTAATTTTTTATGTTTCACAAACACCATCGATAAAAAAAAAATTAAAAAAAATGGATCTGGAAAATATTATTCTAGTTAATATTCGAATAGTGGAAAACAAAGTACTTAGTTCAAATGGTTGGGGTATAGTTTGGACGAATCGACATATTTGATCAAGTATGTATTATACAGTTCAATGTGCTAAAACCGTAATTTTCGCCCGTAAAACATATAAAAAACACATTGTTTTACATATCATTAAACTTTATGACTTATTTTTTTTTTGTGAAACATAATAGGATATTTTTCCATTTTAAAATTTTGAACTACCTATATATTCTCACTATGTGTATTTAATTTATAAAAAAGAAAAAAAATGTTAATTCAAACAATTTTATATTATCATAAACTGGGTTATATAATGAGCTATTTATAAAAATATATATAATATATTTTTATTTTCTTAATACTGTGTAGTAGCCATATTTTTTTATACTTCATAAACGATTATGAATTTTTTTTCGACGGATTACGTTAAATGAAGCTTTCATTCGATGTTTTATTTTTAACTTAAATCATGGCTTCTTTAACATACTACTAATTAGGCTTTTGGTGCATATATTCTAGTACTTTGTGACCTTTATAATAAAGCATAAAATATAAATACACTTATATTCCGTGTCTAGTCAATGATGCGTACATAGTGATTTTAATGTTATAAAATTAATTAACATGGGTTCTGAAATGCTGAGTATAAATTATGAAACTTATGCTAGATTCAATAATTATTTTCATTTAAAAATATATTAATTTCTTCACAGCAAACTTAAGTATATACATTTGTATTTTGTTTCTTTATAAACATTTTCAAGAGAACATTTATAGATGCGCAAATTAAAGAAAACATTTTGACATTCTAATATTATCTTTTTTTGTTAAAATAATACTATTTTTTCTTTGCAAATTAAATTTTAAATATTGCACATAATTTTTTTTTTTTTTTTTTTTAAAACAGATTAAATGAGCTATATTGATTTATCTATGTATTCTAATATCATAGAAACGTTTTAATATGAAGAATAATATGAAATGTACATTATATGCAGTTTGATTTTTTCGTTAAATTAACTTTTACTAGAAAAAAAAATCATTGTTATAACTGGGTGTTGTTTCTTAAAAGTATCGTCTTTTAATAATTTTTATATATTTGTTATATGTTGTTACAGCTGCATGTGTAAGTTAGGTTTTTTACGGCTTCCTCATACACTAGGATTACAATTTTAATTTTATAATGCGTGTACAGTCCATGTAAGGTGTACCGAAAATTAAAAATAAATGTCGGTAAACAAAAAATAAATTCAGGAATGGTCGTTGACATCATTTGTATTCAACGTCCATGGAGGGGTAGAACGGTTATTTTTTTTTTTTACAATCTTAGCCGTGGTCCGTAAATAAATCAAAAGGCTAATTTATCGTCATATCGCTGTGGTGAGTGAGGTGGAGAGGGACTGAAAATAATCAATTGCTATTAGGCCGTGCTGGTTTGGCAATGATACAATATCGGCTAGCCGAAGAACATTTGGCTATTTAGCCCTCTCTCGCGCGTCTCATAGAAAACAAAATAAATATGTATACAAACGATCAATCAGAATCGTTAAAAAGTGTTTTATAATATATTTTATAAACGTATATTTTTATGAGTGACGGTATCAAAATAGCGAGCACAAAATTATTATGTCAAATAAAAACTGAGGCGCTAGCGGTCGTTAAGTTAAGCACAGCCTCCCGGAAGCCGTTGTGGGTAGCGGGTCAATGGTGGATTCGGCGACAAACAAGCGACTTGGCCGCCGCAATATAAATATAACTTGCTTATCCAAAACGTTATTTAAATTTTCTCCCAACAAAATCATTTACAGTCACCACGTGATCACGCGAAGGCCGGCTGTGTCGCGCGGAGAAATTAAAAAAATAAGTATTGCTTTTGTCGTCGGTGTCCATTTAAAATATACTGTTTAGCGTATAAATGACCCCGGACGTCATACTAGATAGTGCATCGCGGCTATGTTTCACCTCAACTCGAGTATTTATTTATAAAATATAGGTGCCAAAGAGTATGGAATATGAAAAAGTATTAATATTCAAAGTGTGTTACAACAATATTGAATCGATCTCATTGCAATATAGGCCATGTCGGCCGAACTCTTCGCTGGCACCGACACTTATCGTCACATTTTACGCATGAAACTACTTTAAGCCATCTACATTAATATTATTGTATTATATCCTGTATATCCTATTGTCTATAAATTGTTAATTATTTTCATAAATCAGTCTCCGTGAAGTTAATATTCTTATTAATAATATTGAACTCATAGATGCGTATATTCAAGAATAATTGTGAATTTAAAGCTCGATTGCGATATGAGACGTGGAAGGCAAATTATTTTTTTGGACAACATTTTTTTTCTAAGGACTATTCTATTGAATTTCTTGCTAGAAAACGAGTATATATTAATATTACAACGCTAAAACCTATCAGATTTGTAATAATAATATAATAATATCACCTTCGTTGTTAAACGTAGTGTTCAAAATACGATATTTCTTTAGAAAATTAGAAATCATCAGTTGTCCATGCTGATGTGTAGCTGATACATATCCATGTAATTATTATACTAATTAGCAGATTTATTAAGTGACTCAGCTTATTAACTAGAAAATTGGTATTCACACATTTCTAAAACGATCAGTACGATCAAGGAAAACAATGTGTTTTATAAAATATGTCTTATGAATTTTTTCTTTATTGATATATAATAATATAACATATATTTTGAGAAATTATATCGAATATGAATTATAATCTAATCAATATGATTTTGAAGTGTTTGAAGTTAGAAAAATAATTATTTTTGTTGTTGCTAACAGTCTCAAACAGTTAAATGAAAAATAAATTGTTTTCGTGGTTAGCGTTTTACTGTACTGCTGGAGACGGAAGTGATTTTATGTAGCGAACGGAACTCGAAAATTATTTTCATAATCATTATCAGACGTTAGGTCTGTGATTTACAATAATAGAAAGCGTCAACGGCGGAACACAAATTTAAAATTCATTTCCGCGGAGCACGATCTGACGTCGCACGTATTCCGTTGCGTCATCGCCTGGAATTAACCGGACGGACGCACAGTACGTTGAACGCGGTACTTTTTTTTATTATATTAATTTGGTTTTCCTCGACCGACCAGATGTCTTTTATATTTAATAATAAGTCGCTCTTCGATGTTTGCTCGTCGACTGGTTAAAAAACAGGACAAATAATATAAGACGTGGCACAACATTCCGATTATAACTATTCTATATGTATATATATATAATTTATGTATTCGAGTAATAATAATCGTACGTAAATATAATGTAGTAATGGCGTCGTTTATGAACCAAATCGAAACTTGATCCTTCTATCGTCTTAAATCGTAGCAAATCAACAATTCGCACAAATTATTTCTAGGACCTATGTGGTTGAAATGTTAGCAATCGACCATCTATCGAATTGTGTCGATTTTTCTTTTATATGACGGAAACATACGACACTATAATATTATTTGCAGTATAAAATTACTTTATAATGCAGTTAGGAAAAACTAGAGCATTTTTCATAACCGCGTATGCGTGAAATTGCATATGCGCGAAAAAAATTTCATTCCACCATCGCAATTCGTGAACGACAGGCAAAATACACTGTCCCAACTATCCTAACATCCAGTTTATAAATATTGTAATTTAATTTAAAATCCTCTTCCAGCCATCGCCACCATTGGTGAGCAAATTTTTCGTTTGATATCGATTAGCATACTAACGCGAATCTGTTAGCTTATTTAAACCTTATTTTATATCGGGTTGCCGGTGTTGCAGAAATTGGATCCAACCAATTTACATATAATCGAGTTCCGAGTTCAAAATGTATTCCGTACTAATTTAATAAGATATCACAAGGATGTGCGTAGTAGGAATGACCTGATTTGGAGTATTAAATCTCCCGAAAATCATTTCCGTAGTAATTTATTAAAGGAGGAATAGTTGGAAATTTATAAATCAATAAATAAGAATCCGATATATGGTTAACTATTATTTAACATAAAAATATAGACTATTGTTATTAATGCGTAACATTTTTTCTTTTTTCTTTTTCAGGTGGTGCTTGTGTTCATTTTAAGTATAGCATCTCTAATTATATATTTTATCGATGCCTCCAAGTAAGTTAAACGATATAAAACTGTGAAACCTTACAGACTATGGGTATACATTGAAATACGTTTTCTTTTACTTATGGTTCTAGCGAGGAGGTTGAACGATGCCAAAAGTGGAGTCACAATGTTACTCAACAAGTAGATTTAGCATTCAATATTTTTTTTATGGTTTACTATTTTATAAGAGTAAGTATTTTTTATTCTTACTGTGCATTATTATATATTTCATGGTGCACCTATTTCCCTGTAAAATTGGTTAGGTTATTAATAGATATTGTTCATTTAAACTCTTTTTTTAAAATGTAAAATATAGTCAACTTTTGAATGAAATAAGATTTTACGAACAGAAAATAAAATTTTCTTTTTTATAAATACATCAGTATATAAAAATAATTCAAAAATTTATCTAAAAAAATGCAGGAATGAATAAAAAAAAAAAAATAGATTGATATTGTAATATACGATAGTATAATGTATTCGAATTACTATGCAATTTTCCATTTTTATTTTTATTATAGTAATAAAATTCAAGTGACTTGCATTATTTATTTTACAATAGAAAATTAAAATTCTTTAGATGAATGATAATTTAAATAACATGAATATAATGTTGATGAGTGTGTCATAGAAGAAGTTAGTTTTACTATCAATCAGTTTGTGATTGTAAATGATTATACATAGCAATAAACGTTGTTTAAAAAAATAAAATAAGATATGTGTGATTGTCTGAAATCAATGAATATATTTCAATACTAAACAAAATAATATATTCCAGGCTATTTAGATTAAAATTAAATTTTAATAAATAAAAACCTAAATGTTTTGCAATATAAAACGAAGTTAACATTAAACTGTATTCGTGTTTATGTGTGTAATTTATAATACTATTTGAAATTGTTAATTGTAAATTTGAAATTGTTAATTGTAAAGATGTTTTCCATTTTGTTTGTAGTTTATAGCCGCCAGTGATAAGTTATGGTTTATGTTAGAAATGTACTCGTTTGTAGACTACTTCACGATTCCACCGTCGTTTCTTTCAATATACTTAGGTCGAACTTGGATCGGTAAGTAAAGTACAACTTTTATGAAAAATATTTATCCATATTTACGAGTAAATATTGAGTTTTTACTAATAAAATAATCTACTTACTTATTTATAATATTACGATTGTTTTAACATTCAACTTATACACATATTTGCGTATTTTTAGGTCTAAGGTTCCTCCGAGCTCTGCGCCTAATGACAGTGCCTGATATTTTGCAATATTTAAACATTCTAAAAACGTCGAGTTCAATTCGACTTGCTCAACTCGTGTCTATTTTTATATCCGTGTGGCTGACCGCCGCCGGTATCATTCATCTCGTAAGTAATATCTACTTGCACTTTATTTAATATATTAAAATTTTTCTTTGTTTTTCGATTAGTTAAATATTTAATATCCGAATGATAGCCATTAGAAAAGTTACATTTTTCTATATTTTATTAAATGATATAATTTAATTTGAAGAAAAAAAAACGTAAAATAATTATCGTATCTGAGAAGAGCAATACATTTTATTTTAAACTCTATATATTTATAATGCTAGTATTATTACATAGTATTGATCACTTTTATTAAACTGAAATGGTTTTTGTAATATTCTAGCTCGAAAACTCGGGAGATCCATTTGAGTTTCAAAACCAACAACGGTTGTCATATTGGACTTGTGTGTACTTTTTGATTGTTACCATGTCCACAGTCGGATACGGAGATGTGTTTTGTCAGACTATTTTGGGCAGAACTTTTTTAGTATTTTTCCTACTCGTCGGCCTTGTAAGTGATATGTTTTTTTTTAATTACATTATATTTTACTTTTTATATTTTGCCTCTCGTTTAAATTAAGTAATAAATACATTAAACAATATAACAATGTAAATTTCACGTGCCACGTGAATATAGAGACGGTATTTTTTGGTTAAAAACGTATTATTACACGATCGGGGTTGATAATAATTCCAATTGTTATATCTGAAAAGGCAGTACATAATTTAATATGCACTTAAATAAAACATGTATCTACTTAAAATAGTAAAAAATAATGATAAATAAAAGCAAAATATAATACCACCATCAGTTTCCACCTACATTATGTTTTGGCAGTGCAAGAATACTGTTTGTCTAAGTTCACTTTTTTTAGCTTTGATAAAGTAATCAGTCATAAAAAAAAATGGATGCATTTTATTTGATAAACATCACTAAACAGAATATGAATATTTTACGTACAATAAATAATAATATCTATAGTAAAGAAATATGGGAACAAAATATTTGATATTATATTGCGCTAAATACTTTATTATATGATATTTTTATTTACACTAAACAACTAAGCTAAAAATAAATGAATAACATTTGTGTGGCAGAAGCTTTCAGCAGGTAAAACGCTATAATACACGTACTTTTTAGTTAGATTTACTATTATTATATTATTTTTTTCTAAGAAAGCTCTAAAAAAGCTGGCAGTTAATTTTTTTTACACACACATTAGCATTACAAAGTAGGAGCATTTACAAAAGCTCCAGTCTAACCTTCCCCACTCATACGGTGTTTGCCTTTGAGAGACAAATTGGAGTAAAAGGTCATACACTTTTTTATTTTTATTATTTTTCTATGAATATCCACAATAGTTATTATAGCTCATAATATAGACCAATAGACTAATACTAAATCATAGTTTATACATGTATACATTATAATATATATTATATTTTTTGTAACATAGTTTCGCTTCATTTACATACGTTTGGAGCCTATTCTTATTTTGGGTGCTTTTTTTTTTTTTATTACTATCATATATGTACATTTACTTATATTATAAAATGACATTATATGTCAAGGTAACCGCTAAAATGCTTGGCAGCTTATATTGAACACACGCGAATCGATAGACTATTTTGCTCTACAACATTCGTCAAATTTGTACACGCTGTTTAGCTTGGAATTTGCATGGGCAGAGTATTTTAATGCTAAGGGTGATTACGGCAGCGTCTGAATAATTAATTATACTTACATTTAATCGTAGAAAACGGGCCACATATGAAATTATGTATAATAACGAAGTCGCGTTATTATAGTCGCGAAGAAATGCATGGCATTTATTCAATAATATTATTATTATCATTATTGTTAAAATTATTATAATTATTATAGTTATATTAGAATAACAAATTTTAAGAATATGATAATGTCGAACTGTACGCCCACAAATGCACACATACATACACACATACTCACACTTTGCAGACGTATACCGGTGCACATTGTACATTGAATGTTATGTAGTGGTGTGTACATGTGTATGTGTATGTAGTATGTGAAGCATTAAAATATAATTTTTGAATTAACATATGTGTATTATTATAATTACTGTTGCTACAACGGTCGATGAATATTATTATATATTACGAGTATATTATATTTTATGAGTCTGTATTTTCATTATTGATCTTAGATACATTATCAACATAATTTATATATATTTTATTATAAATTCATTATTATTATTTATCGACTTTGTTTTATTATCACTTAGGCAATATTTGCTAGTAGCATACCAGAAATTATAGAACTTGTAGGATCTAGATCAAAATATGGTGGAGAGTTCAAACATGAACATGGAAAGAGGTACATAAATATGCTATGGAAAAAATATACATTTATTTATACATACATTTGTATATTATATGTATATTTATACAAATGTATATATTAGTATGTTATTATTTTAATTTTGTCTGTCAGCCATATATTACCTAGATGATATTTTAATTTATCTGATTTGATTTTAATTGTTTCATCATGCATTTGTTGTTGACCTACATTTTAAACGTAGACGATTTTTATGAATTAATTCATATATTATATATTTTTTTTATAATTTACAGTTTTTTCAACTAACATTTTATTGTCTTTAGTATGTTATTATTTTATGTTTACAATTATTTTCAGATACTTAAATAACAATCTTTGCATGTAATCATATTTAAATTATTTTTTTTCGTTTCTTGATTATACCATGTTTATTTTTTCTATATAATTATATGATTTCTGTCTGCTGTATTAACCCTGTAATTTAACCATATAAATATATAGATATAGTTAAACACGAAGGTCATAAAACATTGAGTTATTAACACAAAATTTGGACTTACACAAAAGATAAAAAATTAAACTAGGAAATTGTATTCAATTATCATCGTTGTTGAGATTTTTAGAAACTCAAAACTAGTGTACATAATCGTTATTTGTATAGTTAGAAAAAATTTAATGCATTTGATTTTTTGTTTCTTTATATTCAAATGAAAAATAAAAGCCATAAATGACCTTTTACTCTGTGCAGATATACAACAGAATCACGTTTTCTGACGTGGTTTTGATTGTTGTTGAACATATAAATAAGGAAATGTGTAACGACAAAAGTCGTTACAATCAATCACTGCTTTTTACAAGACCGTATAAAATATTTATTTAATTCATCGGATATATTAGTACATTCGTTATTAAATATCTACATATTTCTAGCATTTTTGTAGTACACATATTTTATGCATATAGAACAAAACTGGCATAGAATAACATGAGTTATTACAAAAAAAAAAAAAAAATAAAAATAAATATTAATTAATCAATAGACGCACTAATAGTACGCTAACTATCGCTAAAACGTATTTGGTACATTCATACACACATATTTTTTTGTTTATTTTTAAACAACAATAACATCGTGTTGTCATTGATGTGTGTATACATATATACACATATATATATATATATATATACACACACACACATACGACGTACAATAAAGCTTAAATATACGAGTATTGCATGAATCCACGTGCGATTAACCTTTTAAACTTTTGTGTAGTGGAAAAAAAAAAAAATTGGGTCACCGGGTGCGGCATGTTTATTGTGGTCGTACCAGCCGCGACGACAACGACGACGACGTCTTCGGCGCGGGCTCTGATAAATGATTGCAATGTCGTTTTCATGTCAAATGTTTAATGGTTATTTGGCTTTATACTATGTACTATTCGTAAACCTGACGTTTAGCCGATACGATATTATACTCTGTACACGCATAATAATTAATCGGTTCTTTCGGTTACGTCGGAATCTTATTTGTACGCTAGCCCCCACACTCGCTCTTTCTCTCGCACCCTTTACGTCTACACGTTGAAAACATCTTCCTCGTCACCTCCGGCGGTACCGTAATCCGACTGGAGCTGAAAAGGGGCCAACAGGGACTTAACGCGACCGCATCGTTTAACAGATATTAATAGCTTTTTGTGTGCAATAACTGTCTGCGGGTGAATGGTCATTTCGTATCTACCTCTTTCGAATCCTTGATCATCACGTGTTTCGATTGCCGCGCAACGTGGTCTTGTGTTTTCGACGTAATCGGATGAACCTCGGGAGATTAAATCTATACACACACACACACACATACACCACAATATACTCACACATTTACACACATGATTTTAGAAATTTACACGATTTGTAATAGTGTTTTTTTTTTTTAAATTTATTTTGTTCTCTTTTGTTGGTTTTTTTGTTTTGTTTTGTTTTTATTTTTGTTTGGGGTTTTTTTTAATATGTTAATATTGTATTGTTAACCGAACGGTGATAGGCTGTGATGGCAAGCTGGATACCCGAAATCACCGAGCTCGCTGGCAACAGGAAACGATATGGTGGGGAGTACAAGCGAGAAAGGCGAAGGCAAGAATCGCCAATGATTTATTATTATTTTTTCGTATTTCATACATTACATATATAAATATTTATTATTTTTATTTTAACTTATTATTTAAAAAAAAAAAAAAAGTAATCTTCTGAAATAACTCGGACCGCATATGTTATACGCTTCGATGGGGTTGATTTCCTTTAGTCTTTCACGATCGATTAGATTGCATTTTGTTCGCTTAACGCTACATAATATATTATATATGTATACATTTTTGAAATTTGAAGTACAACGCTAAATGGAAACAATGTATTTTCACGGAGTATTTCTATGATATGATTTCTATGGACGTGTATTTTTATTTAATTTTTTTTTTTTTTTTACTACAATTACGCTAAGTATTTGACTCGGTCGTCCCGAATGTGTTTCCATTTTTAATGCTAAAACGACTGCGCTAGCACTAATATAACGGCTTTATACTTTGTAAACATTGATAACAATAGTAATAATATCTTTGTAATCATTATTATTATTTTTAATATTATTATTGTGTGTACTAAATCTTTGAAGCGTATTGTATTTAAAACGATTACAATAATAATAACCACGATGACTGATAATAATATAATTTAATATACGATATTACTTATTATTATTATTATTATAATTATTATTTTTATTATTTGATTATGTTATTATTATTATTATTATTATTATTATAACAATAAATTTTTAAAAAAAAGTACGTCAAATTCACATAAAAACCCATGTATATTCGCTTATTAGTCCTATGGATTATAGAATACAATATTACTAATGTCACGTAACAATACGTGGCAAAGTAATATTGAATATTCCCCAAAACGCTATCGTTGCAGTGTAGTCGCCCAACGGTCGTTTTGAAATAAAAAATATTATTATGATGACATGAAACAGATGTTGGTCTGTTGTCTCATAGGTGCAATTACCATGCGTATACGAGATTTAAGCTAAAAATATAATATTAGTATGTTGTTCAGCCGGGCCGTGAAAATACATTGTCACATAAACATCACGCGACATCTACCATCGTAGCCAAATCAGTTATCTTGGTGGCATGAACAAAATATCCCCTAACATAGTCGAAAAAAATAGTTTAGAATATATATATATATATATATATAGTAAATAATATCTAAAATTTAGATGTTAGATTCGTTATTATATTATAATTATTATTATTATTATTATTATTATTATTATTATTATTATTTATTTTATTTTAATTTTTTGCAAACCCAATACATGTAGAATTCGCACTTAATAGCTTCATTAGTTTTGTCAGTAATAAAAACATAATATACATAATATATCAATATATTATTGTTATAGGATATTATATACTTTTCCTCATGAATAACAGTTTTTTTAAGCATTATTATCTAATTTTTTCGAATATTACGTGCCATGAAAAACCGTAGAAAATATCTAACCATATATTTTATTTATTTATTGTTATTATTTTTGTAATATTTTTTTGAGTACTTGAAAATTAAAATAAAAATTTATATTTTGTTTTTAAACAACTCGGCGCGGATATATATTTTTAAAATATTTTATTTTCGTCATAAACAAAAAAAAAAAAAAAAACCCACAGTAAAAATTTTGATAACTAGATAGATTTTAAAAGAAAAACAGGGGCAAAGGTGCTTTACTAGTTATGATAAAGGTAGTTAAATTTTTATATTTTATTTCGTATTTTTAAGACGCTGACAAAAGTAAGGTGCCTAAAATGAGATAACAGTTTTTTCCGCCACACAATTATTTTTTATTTAATTTTTTTATTTTTTATTTTTTTATTATTATTTAAAATTCAAAATGTTAAATAGCAGGTGCATTATTATGAGTTGTTGTGTGTTTCATATTTTGTTTTTTGCATTTTATTTTGTTTGTACACCAAGAAACATTGGCTCGTTGGTAGATTTCCGAATGAATCATAACAATAATAATTATACACTCACATTATTTAACAAAAAATTAGGATAGAATAGTTATTACTAAAAATATATAAAATAAAGCATGAATAATTTTTGGAATGTAATCGTTTTTTTTTTTTTAACATGACTAAAATATTTCGTAAGGTTTTGTAAGCGTGAATTTATTGAAATTATATCAAAATTGTATAGAAATAATTTCAAATTACGATGTATTATAGTTGTTTTTACGTTAATATCTAACAATGTGTTACTGCTGATCGCTAACAAGCCACGTTTCTTTAGGTGTGCTCTCTTTAGGTGTTTTAATTCCTAAAAAGAAAATATTAAAATTATTTTTTAAATGTATGTTTTTTTATTATTATTTTTTTTAGTTTCACAAATACAATAATTTTAGGGTATTGTTATTGGCGGTAAAAACTGACAATATGATCTCAAAAATTTTAAAAAAAATATATATATATTCTATCGTTAAAAATAAAAACAGAAGTAAAATATAATTATAAAATTTAAGTTAAACGAACTTTATTTTGGTGTTAATAGATGCAAACTGAACGGAAAACTATCTAGCTTATACCTATCTGAATGCTTCCATCTAATTATTCTAATTTCGTTCAGTGTGCATTCGACTATTGTCATGCACTCGTTTATGCTATTAAAAATCATACACATACAAACTTATACATACACACGCACACGTACACGCACACACGCACACGCACACACAAACACACACGCACGCGCGCGCGCGCACACACACACACATATATGCACACAGCCACATACAGGCACATATACACAGACAGACACAAACAGACACACTATTAAATAACACTCACACACTCTTACACATAAACAAGTATCAAAATATAGACATTATATGATAATACATTTAAATAATAATAAATTATAACGTGGCGCAATTTTCTCATGTATATTTCTTGAAATTTTGAACTATCCTTGAATGATTTGGGGTTCCTTAGGCGATTTTTGCGAGTTGTATACCCGAGATAATTGACCTGATCGGAACTAGACCAAAATACGGAGGAACCCTGAAGAATGAACGTGGAAGGAGGTAATATTTTAAATACCTTATATATATATATATATTATTAGAATTTATACACCTTTATATAATATTAAGTACTTTATTTTTTTACTAAGCTTCAAGCTTTGAACAATATTTTTCTACGGAATATAGGCCTACGATATTCAGCGTCAATTAAACTAAAGCACTATTTTCATTATTCTAAAACGATTTCTTCTCTTTGTCATCACAACATAATATCAAATATATTATGATCGTTTTACAAACACTGTTATGTACATATTATATGCGGATAATAACGATGAATGTACGAGACATGTACAAGCAGAATATACATGTACTATTTACGGATTACCATGCAACTTTTGCTACCGTGCCGAGTTGCTAAATTAAATGTAATTCAATTGTTGTGTGACTAAAAACGTCATGAATAACACAAATTCGCAAATTAATAGGTTTAATTAATAAAAAAAAGAACATATACATATTATAATATGTTTATGAGTATTGATTTTTGTTGTTGTTTATTTAAAATAACTGCACGTAACAATATTAATTTTGCCTGAATCCTATTTTTAGACCACAACTTATTAATATTAATGTAAATATCACTAATATTTGTGTTATACAAACTATTGTTATAATTATTATTAATACGAGTATGTAGCTTGAACATGTTCAGTAAACACGCTTAAATCCGTAGTGTCTATACCGATGCGAAATAGTATAAACTAATGTATCAATAATTTATATTTTTATTTATACAAACTTTATTTTTTTTTTTTTTTTAGGACAATTTTACGTAAATAAATGTAACAGCATTAAAACAGTTAAACGAATTATTTATTTTATTAATTTGTTTTCAAAAGTTGTGTGAATACTACTAAGTTTAGTGATCACACAACATATTATAATATTATGTATAAAGTTTATTTTCTGTTTTATTTTTTTCTGTTTTTAATTGATTATTTTTCAAAAATGCACTATACCCAAGCAATAATCATGCTTACATATTATTATGTAGTCTTATCCTGATTGATTTTTAGGATTTAACTGTAGTGCCCCTCGTCGGTGCATATAAAATACTTTGAATTCTCATTTTTATTTTTATCAGTTTTATTATTATTATTATAAAATCTATTATAATTTTTTTTCTTTTTAGAGTATTGTAAATATATTAATTAATATACTTTTTATTCCTATAATAACAGGCACATCGTCGTATGCGGTCACATAACCTATGAATCGGTATCACATTTTCTGAAAGATTTTTTACACGAAGACAGAGAGGACGTAGATGTGGAAGTAGTATTCCTGCACAGGTATGGCATACAAATTCAATAATTGATTTCTTTAATCATAAAAATAAAGAACCACACGTTATTCAAAACTGGTTAAAATAAACATACACCAAACACAATTAATAATATACCTATTTAAATCACGTTTTAGCTCTTTGTGAGAACTACGATAGTAATAATAATAATAATAATATATATATAATGTATATATACACATATTTATATCTATATATATATATATAAATATATATATATATATATATAAATAAATCTATATAAACGTTTTTGAGCGTAAAATATTAGGTACGACGTTGTGTGTAATTTGCAGAAAAGAGCCAGATTTAGAATTGGAAGGGCTGCTCAAACGTCACTACACCACTGTCGAGTTTTTTCAGGGTACAATGATGAACGCAGTAGATCTAGAGAGGGTGAAGGTAAATACCCACTCTCATCCCAATTCTTACCGTCCAACATATTTTTTTCTTAACGATTTGTGCTCAGTTTCCATACATCTAGATCAATTATTATTATAACAGCTACATGTAGTCTGATACGATATAGAAACAATTCTTATTAGTTCTAGAGATAGATATATATATATATATATATATTAAGTATAATGTGTGTACGTACGTACGAATATATGTAATTACGTACGTATGTATATGTGTTTATGCATGTATGTATGTACGTATGTACTTTTATATGTCTACGTACGTACATATATTATACGTATATTTTGTTTTAAATAATATTCCTTTTATTTATTTTTTTTCACACCAAACATATAAACTATTATCGTCATTTAGATTTGTTAAGCCTCTTGATTAAACAGTATTTATATATAATATATATTTGTGCAGGCTATGAAAAAAGTCGTTGAAATTGTAAAGAGTTAATGTATTTTGCTTTGAACCATGTATTTAGTTGTCATTTATTATATATCTATATATATATATATATATATATATATTTATATATAAATACGAATACTAAACACTTAGGACGGGAACTTGAACAGACCTTGACGATGGTAATGTTTTTTTGTTTTTATTTTTTTATTTTTATTTTAACCAGGTAGATGAGTTTTTCTTTTATACTTATGTATTTATATATTACATGCATATTATGTAAACTATATATCTATATATACGTATATGTAAAAGGAAAGTAGTTTAGATCGAAGGAGTGATTGTTCTGAAATTTATAAATCTTCCCTATATTTATATAAATATATATTGCGTGTAGGTTTACCCCGGTGGAGATGTATTACCCCGTTCTTAGCTGCTACTATACGTGACGAATAAAAAGTTATTATTATTTGATTTAGCGTTTGTATAGCCGTTTATTTGTTATACTGTTGTACCTGTGTACCATACCTAGTAAAACTAGTTAGAGATTTTAAATGGGTTTCTGAAGTATAGATTTTATATTATTGATTTATACGATATTTATATTGAATAATAATTAGGATACAGTGTGAAATATATAGAAGACATGTCAGTATTAGTTGTGCTTCAATTTAGTTATTTTTGGTATTTTCCAAACCGTAGGAAGCCACCTGATCTGGAACTGGAAGGACTTTTCAAGCGACATTTTACCACTGTCGAGTTCTTCCAAGGTTCTATAATGAACCCTATTGATTTGCAAAGGGTAAAGGTATGTCCAAATAAATGGCTTTAGCACAAATTGAATGACGGTTGCAATTTTTGGATTGGTATGACGCTGGTGATGGATTTTTGTGATTTAAACGAATATATACATAACTAACATAAACATATACATCTGTGTATATATATATATATATTTAGATACATATTCATCATGGATGTTATATCGGAAGGCATTGACTGAGTGGCTGTATTTATACTCGGGAGTAAGAAATAAATGTACTCACCTTTTTTATATATTATTTTGATTTTAAAATATTTTAATAAATCTACGAAACTTACGGTTTTAATGATAATATCAAAGATGATATTAAAAACTATAAATAATTAAATTACTGTAAATTGGCCACTTAGTTTCCTTTCAATAAACATCTGCGATGTATCAGTGTATATGTATATATATATTAACGGATAACAATTTTACATTATACATATAGTTCATAATAATCGGAACTCAACTACTGACCGAACTATTTATATGTTTATTCGATATCCTTATAATGTAATATTATCTATATATTTTTAATATATTTATATTTTACATACATATATATTTATATTGAACGTAATCAACGACTGTGTTTGTCATTTTTTTTTTTTGTTTATTTAGTTTACCGATGTTTTTCTAAAATTCGGTTTAACGGCGCATGCTTTTTTATACTGTATTATATTAGAAAAAAAAAACACAATTATTATAACCATTAACGGACGAACTTGTACACGCCATAACTTACATGTACTTAACAGAAGAAGACATTTTTACCGCACAGATTGAAAACGTATAATTTCATCAACATTAAATATATATGTATATATATATTTTATATACGACCATCGCATAGTTATTATTTTCTTTTTTTGATTGATGTAATGTATTCACTGGTAGTTAAACATTCGCACGTGGTAATAAATAAGTCTGTATGTCATTGCATCATAGACTCGTTAATTGTTTTTAATCATTAAAATTGTTATGCATCTTGTTTGTAAATCGCTAATTATTGTATTATTTTTCATACTAACCTGTAATAACTAGAAAAAAACGTGTACGTGCAAAATTATATAGTGAGTAATTTTGTTATAAACATTCTGTGATTCCGTCGTCGACGCAGCATGGTATAATGCGTCCGCAACGGATGGTCCATCATAGTGCGCGTACATGGCCGTTAATTAATGCATGCGTGTACGTCGAAATCGTTGTATTTTAGTATTGTAGTATTATTTTAATAATGTACTATTTTCTGGAAAATGAGCTTTAGCGTTTAACGTAAAACTTTACGAGTGTAAATGTTATAATTCTATTCGATTATACGCGATGAAACATGGCAATTTTGTTGCTGTTGCTGTTCTCTGCGTGTAAAGCATCAAGCGACCAATGTAAAACGTTCGGTAACATTTCAGGTCCACGAGGCTGATGCCTGTCTGGTGTTGGCCAACAAGTACTGCCAAGACCCGGACGCCGAAGATGCTGCGAACATAATGAGGGTAATTTCTATCAAAAACTACTCGGACGACATAAGGGTCATTATACAACTCATGCAGTATCACAACAAAGTGCGTATCATTCGTCATTATAATCTGCTTCTCGATAATGTATCGGTAATAGTTTTCGTATTTTAACGAATCTCGTTTAACTCCCGTTATTTCGTCGCGTCCGAGAAAAGAACGTTTCACGACTCCATAGCATGTTAATATCACGGTGTACAAAACAGCCGTGTTGATAACACACATACGAAATTTGGTGCGCTAACACGTTTATAATTTCATTGGCATGAATTAAACTTTTTCACATGGCAATAAAATATTTACCAAGCTTAATATAATATTATTTCGTTTCGAGAAAATAGTAACGTTTGTTTTTTTTCCTAATGAAAGTTTTAAAATAGACCTTTGCGTGCATGTTCCAATAAGGTATACATTACAATATACGTTTTTCGAACATAACGTTCACGTTATCACGTTGGTAATTTTGCGCATTATGAGTACGATTATACAGTAAAGGCATCCTCGTCCCTTGCCGCGAGACATCGTATCCTCTGAGGGTTATTTTGTTATTTTTTAAACACTTGTTTCGATTTGACAACAGGCGTATTTACTCAACATTCCGTCGTGGGATTGGAAGCAAGGAGACGACGTGATCTGTCTGGCGGAGTTGAAACTCGGGTTCATAGCGCAGAGCTGTCTAGCGCCAGGCTTCTCCACAATGATGGCGAACTTGTTCGCTATGAGGTCGTTCAAAACGGTGAGTCATTCTTAACCGATACGCTTGAGCTTATTAGAACACTTCTCTAACTCTTGTTGCGCGCACGCGCTCACATCCAGAGATGCGAAAAAAAAAAAACGGAAATCGAAAAAATGAATGAACTATTTCATGTTTCATTATTTATAAATATTATATTATCGAATGATATGCATATAACAACAATAATATTATTATACTTTTAATCAATATTCAATTCCGAGGACTTGAAGTATGCGATTGTCACCCAAACCTGCATAACCGTATGTGCCTACCTAGACCTGAACATACGTAATCGTAAACCATAACGTATCCCTGCACCGACACGTTTAGTTATTTTAAATTTTGTTTTTTTTGCGTTTTTTAAACGTATTTTTGTACGTATGTATGCGTTTATAAACGGTATAAAAAACGAATAATCTATAGAAAAAAAAAAAAAAAATCAAAATACTGAATCCAATTTATCGGTTGTGGTGAATAAGTGTGTTAGACGATGTCTGTTAGCAGAACACGAGGTGCGTGGTTGCACCGGATGCAATACAAACGTGGCAGAACGACTATTTGCGCGGTACCGGCATGGAGATGTATACGGAAACGCTGAGCCCGACATTCATTGGCATGCCGTTTGCGCATGCCACTGAGTAAGTGGACTTAAATAACGTGGCCAAATGTTATACTGACGGCGATATTGTTGTTGTTGTTTTTTTTTTTTTTTAATTTTTATCCGTCGAAAACTGTACATGATTTTGTGCATCTCAAGTCTGTTGTTATGCCCACGTGTTATTTTTTATCTTACGATTTTTTTAAGACATTTTTATTTTTTATTTTTCGTGAGCCTGTACATTTTACACAAAAATTTTACAATATCTGCATTAATGATTACACATGAAAACATGTTGTTCATTTAACTGCTATTTATATACAATACGACAGCAGCGTCCAGAGGGTCTCTAAGCATTTTAAAATTCTTTTACTACTACTACTACTACTACTACTACTACTACTGTTACTATTACCAATAATAATACTAATAATAATAATAATAATAACGTGACGTCTAAACAGTTTTTTTTACGATTTGAACATACGTCGAATATGTGACGTTCAAGGGGCGTGCGATCATTACATACTATCTCGGCCACACGGTGAGCAACAACGTTGTTGTCGTTGAGTGGTTGGCTTCGAATTCAAGAGACCCTCTGAATATTTTTATTTTTTTTTATTTATATTTGGCATCTTTGATTTAACGAACACGATTTACAAACCGAAAGCAAAAAAAAAAAAATATCCCAAAATTAGATATTTGCTTTTGGCTCTTTTCGTCTTCACACGCAGCTGAAAATCGGGGTAATCGGACCCGTTTTGCAAAAAAAAAAAAAAAAACCTAAGAAATAAATAAATAAATAAACGAACAAATAAGCAACGCGCAAAAAAACACGCTGTTTCGCGAGTCGTAAAAAAAACAGCTTGCAAATTTACATTATTATTATTGTTGTTGTTGTTGTTATTGTTTTATAATATTTTTATTATTATTATTATTACTGCACGTGCGTACGCGTATTGATAATGCGCGTACGATGGCTTGTCTTTTTTACGTCTGATGTGGTAGACGGTTTCTTGTCCGTTTTTTATTTTATCATGGTGGATTCGTACCACTCGAAAAATGTGTTCATGGCGAGAGAAAAAAAATTCAAAAACAGAAGATTATATGTGTACGTAATAATATTGTGCTGCGCGCGTGTACGATAGGTATCTTACGTTTTTATATACTCAGCCGTAGGAACATTATCTATATATGAGTATATGGTACAGTCAAACTTGGAGCACATCGTAAAAAACGATCGGTTTTTTATTTTTTTTTTCGTTGATTATTTATTATTTATATTGTTTTACTTATGATTTTGTCCTTCGTCCGAAGAATTAAAAAAAAATCGAATATATAACAACGAATAAATACAAATAACGATCCAATAATAGCCATCCCGTATAAGTAATACCTTTGAATATCAGACTTGGATAAAATACTTTTTAAAAGTATTTAGAATAAATACTCGAATACTTACAAAAATAGTATTTCGAATATGTATTCAAATACTTTATACAAATCGTATTCCGAATACATTATTTAGAATACTTCAAAAGTATTCCGAATAGTTTTAAAATACTTCTAATTTTCATACTATAAAAATAATAGATGTCCACTCAACAGAAATATTTGAAATTGTAGGCTAAATATATGTTATTTTGTTGTATTTTTATATTACATAACTATTATAGTTTATGGTTTACAACAATAATAAATACCTGATATTAACTTATACAAGATACGATAGAGAAGTAATAAAATCATTTAAAAAATAGATGATTTAACGGTATTCGAAATATAGTACTCAGAATACTTGTTATAAGTATTCAAAATACTTTACTGAATACTTTCAAAAAAAGTATTTAAAATGTATTCTGAATATTGTATTCGGAATACTACCCAAGTCTGTTGATTAGAGATGCCTCATTACTATTCAAACGAGTTCTTTGGAAATCAAACGGTCATCATCTTTTTGTGTTCAGTCGACCGTCTTGAAAGTTGCAAATCCGCCAACGGGATTCATTCGTTTTCCAGACAGTTCGATAAACAGATTAAAAAAAAATGGGGGACAACGTTTTTATAATTTGTATGTCCTCAATGTTTAACGTTTCTTGCATGTGAAACGTATCGCACGTACCTGAATTATACCGTAATTGTAGGTATATTTTATTCAAATATATTTTCCGTGTTTCATGAAAACGTTTGGTTATAATATATTTGGGGTTGATATTTTTAAAATTCTTAAAAAGCATTAATTTCCGTTTAATGAAGAATTCAAACCGAGATACTTTTACTATTAAAATGTATTATACTATTATCTTCGATATTTATTTTTAACTTTATGTAATTAACGTGTTAACATACACGTTAACATCAATAATAATTTACGCGAGTAAAAAACAAAATTCTTAAAAGTCATTATTATATGAAATATCAAGTCCTCGGTCTGTATAATAACAATTTAATACATGCACATAATGTGTGCATTTAATGTATACATTTTTTTTTTGAATATACTATTTATTCAATAACCACCCCGGTGAAAGTTTTGATCCCATAACTTTTGTTGACACCTTTATTATTTATTATATTTTATTTTATTTTCCATTTTTATTTTTTTTTTTTTTTTTTTTTTTTTCCTT